AAAAAAAAAAGAAAAGGGATGGCCAGGGGGATTATTTTGGCACAGGTTTTCTTGGCGCCGGTCGGACCAGGAAGGCGATGCCGCGGTGGAAGATGAGCTTTTGAGCCGTACAAAGCCAGGTCAAACATGCCTCCCGCTCCGTAAGAACCCCCCCTCCCGAGAAAAATTGGCGAGAGGCTGAATAGGCCGACAAAGGTAAGAAATATAAAAATTCTCCTGATGGCAGGGGGATTATTTTGGCACAGGTTTTCTTGGCGCCGGTCGGACCAGGAAGGCGATGCCGCGGTGGAAGATGAGCTTTTGAGCCGTACAAAGCCAGGTCAAACATGCCTCCCGCTCCGTAAGAACCCCCCCTCCCGAGAAAAATTGGCGAGAGGCTGAATAGGCCGACAAAGGTAAGAAATATAAAAATTCTCCTGATGGAAATCCAAAGTTTTAAAAAAATACAGCATTTAAAAACAAAACCACCAAGCAGATTGCCTCATGCTCCTCCCAGCTCCACTGTAACGCCCAGAAACACCTCCTGAATTCATCTTCCCTGTAGAAAAATATATACACGTGCATTTCTCTTCCTATGAAAATCCCTAAGGTTGAACTCAAACGCTAGTGAAAACCACAGCTCTGCTCACACTTGGCTCTGCTTTTGCACCGAAACTTGTGCTACACACATACTATGTTCTCACAGGCATGATGTTCATATGGCTGAACTGATCCCCTGAAAGGCAGGATGAACCGCTCCAGGAAACCCAAAACGGGCAGAGAAAACCCTTATGGAGTTGATCTATCTATCTATCTATCTATATATATATGTATAAAAAAAAGCAGCAATGCAAACTCAACACATCTGAACAAGAAAGCGCCCACCCTGGGCTCCCCCTTCCCTCCTGCTCGCTTGGGCTTTGGCCTGGCAGCAGGCACAGAGAGATGCTGGCCCAGCTCCACGCGGGTCTGTGGGACAGACCCAGCCAAGACCTACATCCCGAGCAGGGTGCAGGGGGACGGGAGGAACCGTCACCAAGCGCTTGGAGCTCAGCGTTTTCGTTTGGCACAGATGATGCTCGGTTGTAGTCTTGGCACCGGAGAGCGGACCGCAGTAGGACTAGGTACCATGGTCCCAGGTTACAAACAGTCCAGCTACAGTGGCCACTGTGTGCAGAAGCGATCCCTTTGCCATACACAGTTTCCTTGGCACCTCGGTACAGCCGGGACCCCGAACAGCAGCAAGTATCAAAGAGGAGAAGAGGAAAATAACATCGGAGGGGGGTGTGTGTGTGAGGTCGTGTAAAGTCCTATTTACACTGTGTTTAAATCCCTACGAGTCCATCCTCTAGTCAGAAAGTTGGCTTCAAAAGCAGGTGACATAAAAACGACAAAGTGATGTACCTCCCTGGGCAAACAGCCCATGCCACTCGCTTGTGCAAGGCAGAAAAGCTGGACCTCTAGAAAACAAAGAAAAAAGGCTGGCAGCTAAGAGGGCCGTGAAGGGCTGGGCAGGAGCCCGCGCTCGCGACCTCTCCACTGCTGGAGTAGAAAACAGGCCAAGAGGGGCAGGCAGGAGGGTGAGTTGGACAGGACCTTGGGGGAAGGAAGGTGGGTTTTTTTGCATTTGAAAGTGCTCTGGCACCTCTGCTCCGCACAGGTCGGATGCTGTGGCACGTGCGTTTGGAGTATTGCTGCTTGGAGAAGAGTCCCCGGGCTCTAGGAGCACGGGAGGTGTTGCTTGAGGATCTGTCTCGTCTGGGGGGCTATTCTGTCCGGGAAGCGGATTTTGAACTCCACGATCAAGTCTCCTCGCTGGGTGGGGGCCTTGGGGAAGGGCAGCCCTTCCCCGCGCAGTCTCTTCACTGTGCCCGGCTTGATGATGTCGTTGCAGGGCAGCGGGATCACCCTCCCGTCGATGGTGGGAATGTTCACGGTGCAGCCACACAAGGCCTGCGAGGGAGAAAAGCGACATGCCGTGAGCCGGGCTGCCTGTCCTCCCAGGCCCTTAGCCCCTTCGCTCCCCCCAGACACCGCGGAGTAGTGATGCTGGCCTTGCCTGCGTGGGAATCGCCAGCTACGGCTCCCAAGGGTTTATCAAGAGAGCCCTGAGCTGCCCCCCCCACATGGGGGGGGGGCACCAGTGGGCACAACCGGCTCAGCCCTGCGGGGTTCAGCCCTCTCCCTTCCCAACACTCCCAAACAGCTGGGGGAGTCTCCAAGCAGGCAAGAGATGAGAGACAAGCCCTATTTATTTACCTCTCAGAAATCACGCCTGAACCAGAGTAGCCTGGTCCAGCGTGACCTCCCAAAGCATCCTGCCTGCCCAGGGCTGCGGCAGTGCAGAGCCACCCCAGGACCGACCGCAACCCCAGGACGCTCACAGCCACCACCCTGAACCCAGCAGACGCTTTGGCTCGCCCCGTGGCACGTCGCGGTGGGGAACACCTGGCGCTGATGGAGCGGGACGGCCTGGGAAGAGCCTCCAGCTCCCGTGGGGCTGGAGCAGAGCTCCGGGATGGGGACATCCCCGTGCCCACATTGCTGAGCAGCGGGAAACATGCTGCATCCCTGCATTAGACACTCCCTGGATTATACTGCCTGGCTCTGATCTCACCCCCAGCTCCCAGGGTTAGCAGCCCAGCTCATGCTCACTGGTGCAAGCCCAGGTCTCCTCTGCTCCTAACCTCCTTGCGCTGGGTGCCACGAGGTGCCAGGAGCTGTGCAGGAGAGGGTCATCCTGGCCTTGCTTGGGGGGGGGGAAGGATGCCTGCTCCCCATCTACTGTGCTCCCCAGGAGACACTGCCAGCAAACGACCCGGGACTCGCAGCAACAGAGCAGGTTAAATTTAGCCCCCCCCACCCCGGCCTCTTCACCCAATCTGGGGGGGGGGGGAGGGACCGAAAAAC